TCAGCTGTTCGCCTGTTTTTAATGATAACATCGACAGCAATTCATCGGCAAGGATGAATAACGCTGAAAGCTGTTCAAAGAAACAATTTTCAGCGCTTTTGTGCTACAGTAACTAGGAAAAAGTAAAACTTTTTTGTTCATTTACAATATTACTTTATTCATAATACTATATTATTTTTATTATTACTTTCTATCATTTGTTGTATCTTAGCTGAGAGGCCTTTATCTCCATTTACCGCACTGTATTTCAATATTGATATTGTTCATATGAATGAATGAGTGAATGAATTACTTAATTAATTAATTAATGAACGAACGAATGAACGAACGAATGATGCAATATACGTATATGTTAAAACAAATTGTCTGTAGAAAGTATATGAGTTGTAATATTCTAAAAATTACATATTATACATTCATTTTTCTTCCTATGCATGTCCTGTTGTTGTTGTTGTTGTTGTTTTCTATTTCAGAAGGCCAGGATATACATGATTGTTATCGTATGTTATTAATGTATAACCTTCTTTAAATAAAGATATTATTTTTATTATTATTATTATTATTATATAAAAAGGTAGCAAGATCTATTAAAATGTTTCTGAAATGTTAAATTCAAAGATACGAATACTCTGTATTATAACTAAATCCATCAAGTGTTATTATAAATAATGGCATATAGTAGACATGTCCCATGCAGTAAATGGATGTGTAACCCGAGATGTCTAACCATATAAAATGATTTATTTAAAAAATAAAAATTTAAATAATCTTTAAGAATGGTTATTATTTCTATTGCACTATACATTAAAACAGATTTCAAGGATAAATAACATGTTTTTCCATGCACTTTCATATCTCGGGTTACACAGCAATTCACTGCATAGGACTTGTCCATTATATGCCTTTATTTATAATAACACTTGATGGATGCCTTCATTTACAAGACTGAATATTCATATTAAGAGTTAAATTTGCCTTTGCCTTTTGACTTAAACATTTCATAAACCTATTACAGGAACACCACTGAGGTTTATAAGCCTAAAAACATGAAATTTTATTTTTTCACATAAAAAATATGAGCACTAAAACATAAATATTAATAAAATATAACCAAGAAATATAGGAGAAATACATTGAAAATCATATGTGCTATTCTCAGTCCGATTTGAGTGAAAAACGTTTAAACTCTTTTCAATTTTGGGTCATTTTTTCACTATTATAATATTCTGGAAAAACAGAGCAAGCTAATGATCGGAAATTTTGCATATAACTTATTAGTATAGATCTACATCAAATGGAGAAATAATCTCAAAAAAATTATTTTCAGTTCCGTCATGTCAAAAAACCTTAGTGGAGTCCCTTTTATAGGTTTTGCTACCTTTTTATATTGATTATATTGAAATACAGTGCGGTAAATGGAGATCAAGGTCTCTAATCTAAGATATAACAAATAATAGAAAGTAATAATAAAAATAATATAATTAGAAAGAAAGTATCATGAATAAAGTAATATTCTAAATTAACAAAAAAGTTTTACTCTTTCCTAATTACTGTAGGACAAAAGCGATGTTGTTAATACATGTAATTGTTTCCTTTGAACAAGCTTTCAGCGTTATTGTCGTTCTGCCGAATGTTATCATTAAAAAACAGGCGAACAGTCTTAATAGCCATTATAAATTTTTATGAAACAAAACTTAAATACCTGTAATGAAAGAAAAGCTTTTTTTCAAGGTATGGCGGGCAGTTTTAATTTTTTGAGGTAAATTGTTGGTTTAGCAACTAAGGGGGAAAAAAGGAATATCTCAAACCGATGAGGCGAGGATGTTGAAAATTTTTGTATTCAATCTCAATGTACAGCTTTAGTCAATCTAGTGTGTTATTTTCAGTAAATTCATGTATTTTAATGCTTGCAGAGGGCAAAATTTTTCGCATAATCCTTCTTGGCATGTGAAGCGTGTAGAAGCCGTAAGAATTGCGATTTATTTCAGATTATATTTTTCGGGATGGATTGTTAAAATTTAATTTTATGATCCTATAGAACCCGATAACGATCAATTTTGTAATTCTGCTGTTTTATGCTCCGAGGACATTAGATATTAATTTAAAACAACTGCACGAACTTTTTTTTCCCGGCTTTTTTTGTAGTTGTTGAATTCATGTGTGTTGAATAACAGAATCAGTCTTTGTTACAACTCTTTTTTAAATCGACTATGAAAATATGGAATCAGTATCATTTGACCTTTCATAATTTTTATAAAAAATATTATTATTACAATGTATATATTAACTTGTATGTCGTATTAATTTCAATATCAAGATCGCAATATTGTTGCAATTCATGTATACATTATTTAAACTTTATGTTCCTTAAGTAAATATGAAATACCTACGATCTTTATTTGTGGATGTTCAAATAAAGACGTATATATTTTAAAATTATAAAAAGCATAAAAGGGAAGAAAGAAAACAGCAGAAAATACATAAAAAGAAAAGAAATAAATCAGATGTCTCTATAGAAATGATAACTTGAAATAGCATATTTACTCATAATTTAAAATAGACAATACGGCGACTTTATCATATCAACTGCAGTCACATTATTTTCAATCTTTGAGGCAAACACATAAATAATTGTTTAAAAGTTGGCCTGAATAATTCTTAACAAGACATATATGTCTCTTGAAAGCCAAATTGTGTTCTCTTTGTCATTTTTGTTATGAGTATTAATGATGCAGCAATGTTACTGACTACAATGGCGTCATCTTATATATCTAAAGGAAAGCAGTAAAATAAAACATATTGACATACCTGACAATATATAACACATATTGACATGTATCACACACTATTCGTAACTAAATTCTAGGATGTAAAACTATCAGAACTATAAAATGACAAAGAGTATAATAAATTGAGCCGCGCCACGACAAAACCAACATAATGGGTTTGCGACCAGCATGGATCCAGACCAGCCTGCGCATCCGCGCAGTCTGATCAGGATCCATGCTGTTCGCTGTCAGTTTCTCTACTTGTAATAGGGTTGGTTAGCGAACAGCATGGATCCTGATCAGACTGCGCAGATGCGCAGGCTGGTCTGGATCCATGCTGGTCGCAAACGCATTATGTTGGTTTTGTCGTGACACGGCTCAAATGTTGTTTTTTATGTTAGTATCAAACCACAGAAATATCATGGTCCTCTTCTCATATGCTTACAATTGAATGAATCTTTTAGTGTCAAAATGATTTTCTTAAAAAAGAAATAAAGAATGCTTTGCCAAACATTACCGGTATGTTGCTTTTTGTAAGATTATTTCCAAATTGATTGAGATATACTTAAACGTACAGTATATTGAATTTTTATAAAATGAACTTCGCCCTTCCCGCCCATGTTTAATACAATATTTTTGGCCTTGCTACATCATAAAGGTGTGCCAACTCAAAGATGTACAAGAAATACACAGAAACATCTTTTAAATACTCGTACACAAGGTCAATTGCGTTTGTCACAAAATCTTTTCAAATTTAAGCTTAATTCACATGTAATATAATGAGGGAGTGAAGAAATAATTGAACCAATAGATAGATGAAAAGGCTATTAATATAACACACGCGAGTTGAATTTTTTTGCCATACTAAAAGTATTTTCTTTTTCAGTGAATCCTGAACTAATTCAGAGTTCAATCTAATTCTACAAAAGCGAGCATGCTATCTTGGAACCACACATGCAATAATTACAATTAATTACAGTTATCCGCATGTTTTGAATTAATTTAATTGGTATAAGGCAGATGTAAAAAGAAAGAGCAGCGGGTTTAAAAAAAAATTCGTGCAAAACGTTTGTCTGAGTCACGAACTAAAATTAGGGCAGGAAAAGTAATCAATCTCACGAAATACAATCAGAATATTTAAAGCATATCAGAGTGAAACTTTTTGTTTTAGATTATAACCAAAAAGGTTTTCTATGATGTACATATATCAGATTGTCAGCCATTATAAAGCACTATTAACATGCTTAATTTTCACAGATTTCAATTCCATTTAATTTCATTCTTTTTTTGTTGCAGAGCTTTTATTTATTTTATAACTTTTACAAAATTAAACTTTTTTTAATTTCTGATTTAAAAACTGCAGCAACATCGTTTTTTTCACAGATTTTAATTCCATTTAATTTCATTCTTTTTTGTTGCAGAGAAGTCAGTCATATAAAACATGTTTATAGCTCAAAGTTTAAACTTTACGTTTATAATTTTCCCGCAATATGAAATAAATATTGATGTTTATCGGATGTTTTATAGTCATTTTAATTTCATTGCGATATCTTTAAAATATACACTGATTGTGAATTCTTGTTTTGTTTCTCAGATTTCAATTTGATTATCTTGTTAAATATAAGAATACCATGGTATATTTCAAATTTTGTTTTGTAATATGATATGATTTGACGAAAAGATTAAGATTTAATAGTATACAATAAGTAATAAATAAAGAATATTTGATCATATTGCATAATGCAACATGACGAATTTAAGTTCTGTAAAAAAACTGTTTAACATTAATTTACCCTTTTGTATCTCAACAACAAAAAATACATTTTTAGAATTTGACAAAATTTCTGTTTATAGTAGAATATTTAATTCAGAAAAGAGACATGATATACAGATTTTAAAATTGCTTAATTGACTATTTATACTTCCCAAGAGTTTCATGCTCTGATCTTTTGGTATATTACATGTTTATGTAAATTTACTTGTTGGTTAATATGTTTGTGTCCATGATAACTGAAGTTGTTTCTATATTTAATATTTCACCATTTTCATGGTTTAATGTTTAATCAAACTTAAAACCGGTGCTGGGCTGGCATGGACGGTATCGTGCAATTACATCTACCGTCCATGAAGAGACTTAATCAAGCCTGTAGTATTTTCAATTTTGCCGTTTTGAGCATTCTTTAGGGTTACAGTTTTTGTATATTTTAAAGTATAATGTTTCTATACTTTCAGTCGCACAATCCTCTTCTATTGATGTTGAAACCGTCCAGAAAGGACCAAGCCAACGCCTTTCTACAGTTCTTTCAGGCCAACTTTTGGTTTAATATTCTCATATTAGTGCAGGATATGTTTGTAGCAGATGGATTTTATGAAGAAATGATGAGTAAAATTTCTGATCCTAAATGGTCTCTTCAAGAAAAGATTCTACCCGAGAGGATTAGTAATTTGGAGCTATATAATCTTGTTATTTCATTGTTGGGCAATCAGCCAAGACTTATTATTATTCATACGGAGTTATCACTCGCACAGCGGATATTTAAAGCAGCAAAGGAGGCAAACCTAACATCATTCAATCATGCATGGTTTGTCACGGAAGCGAGCTTCTCGCACGACCAGCATAACCTTAACCTATTCCCCGCTGGAACCCTTTCCATAATACCAAATTACGCGGTAAATCTAGAAAATGTGATATTAGACGGGACCAATTTTATGATAAAATCTGTGATAAAATTTTCTAACAACAAAAAATCTATTCTGAGGAGCTGCTGGAATGACTCAACCAAATTATATAAAACTGTCGGTAAAGAAACTTATAGGTAAGTAAACATGCTTTTCTATTCATATATATAACAAAAAATATTTTGGAGAAGAAAAATTGTCCTTAACTCTAAAGACGTATGCAAGGGTAACATATAGACATATAGCAAATTGGAAATCTATCTATATCAGACAGGATAATCTACTGTTTACACCGGTGCTAGAAAACCATGTCTTACTACTCCACAGTAAGACAAACGCCGAGCTTTAATAATGTCGTATCCGACAACATTTTATGAATGAATTGCATCTTAGGATGACGTCATTTTTCGGTTATGAAAGAAATTGTAGTATTAGTTTCCGTTATTTCTACGTAATATGCAACAAAAAGAATAAAACACCGGCTATCATCACAGATGGGAATATCTAGCAGAGCCTCGTGTACGTCGTAAACAGTTACGCTCAAGTTATCTTAGAATATGGTGACAGAAACACTTTAAGCGAAAAATAATCCCGGGATACCTACCAAGTATCTGCCCTTCTTTTAAGCCATTTCAGTAATTTTGACATTTCATGTTTTTCATTGTATTCTATGTCACAATACAAATTTTCATGAAATTCAATTTAACATTTGTGCACCCTTCATTCTTTTTAGTAAGGACACCACGGAAAATTCTTTAACAATTAGCTATTTTTTAAAATAAAAAAGAAAAATGAACCAAACTGCTCATTACCAATTTTTGAAGATTGGCACAATCACTCGAATGAAAACCAGCTGCATGAAATACAGGAAAAGATAAAGCATCGCTCACTTATTGTGAATTTTCTGCTCTAGAAATAAGGTACAACTTTCAAATTCAAGGGCAGATAGCTCATAGAGGTCGATAAATCAAGATATTTTTCGCTTTAACTGTTTCTCTCTGTTATCATATTCTTAAATCATCAAAGGGCAGGACAGTGTTGCACACTTGGTTTAAGCGAAATGAATCGTTAAAAACAGACAAAATGACTACCGAGTCATAAATATTTACAACACCGGCACGTATTTTCTATATATAAATGGGTTTGTATGTTATTTTGAAATTTTTAATATGCCTTTTCTTAAAAGCAATGTTTATGACAGACTCGGTTCCTAGCTTCTGATTTGACGAAGTTGTTTTTGAAGATATAATGTGATCATGTTTTAACAAGTGACTTTTCTGGTCGGTTTTTCTACTCATTTATTCACAGCTTTGAGATTTTATGTTCACTAAAACAAGGCAATGTATATTTCTGTCAATCTTCTATTATTTGTTTTAATTTGCATTTTTAAAATAAAGGTCAGTACACAAAAATTTCTTGTTCAAGCACATTTTGGTTGCAAACTTGTATTTCAAGCATTTCTGGTTGCAAACTTATTCTTACTATTTTTAGTCAAATATTAAACTGCAAAAGGATTCCCCGAAGATCAAATCTATTAGTCACAGACATTTCCTTGACAATTTTATACAATTGTGTTATTTTTCACTTGTTTAAAAACGTTTTATAAGGCTTTAACATTTAAGGGGTTTCTGTATTCAGTTGTCAATTCTTATCATTTATTGGCACGACCACTCTATGTCTCGGCTTTTGTGCCATCTCCTGCTTTTTGTTGGGTACCCTACTGAGTACCTTCGCGGCAGTCCTGTGTGACAGGATTTTGTCGAGGACTGCATTCTCTGATTTTACTTTGCAATGTTGGTCCTTGTTATTATATTTTTCTTGTTTCATATCTAAATACACGTGCGTATTTCTTTTAATTGCACGTTTCTTAGTTCATAAATGAAAAAGTCAGGGGTATGTGGAATTTTTGCCTTTTCCAACAGACAATAGGGCAGAATTTTATACTTGTTCATGTAACAAATTGTTGGCCATAATTTATTTTTTAACAGAGTTAATGACTGGTAACGATGTCCTTTCATAGGAAGGTGAGATTTCCCTATGTAAAGTCCAGAGTCCATTTCTATAGTTTGAGGAATCATTCTACAAAAAGGCAATGAATCATGTCTGAGCTATCATCCTTTTGGTACTTACTGAATCTTATTAAACATTATGGTTTGAGCTTATCGTACTTCTTTCAATGTTTTAAGAAATTGGAATGAAAACAACTTTACAGTTGTAACTATTAAAATGTGCATATAAAAATTTATTTTAACAAGTGGTTGCCTCCATATGACCTACTTGTATTAGGGAGCTCTGAAATAATTATTTCATCAAAGTATAGTTCTGTCCAAGTTATAAGCAATAACATTGACGCATAAGTTTGCAAGCAGAAATGCTTAAAGTACAAGTTTTCAACCAAAATGCACTTGAACAAGATATTATCGTGTATCGAAACTTTATTTGAAACATGCAAATTAAAACATTTACACAAGATACTTTGTCGTGTTTGGTGAATTTCAAAACTTGCAGATGTGAATAAATGAGTAGAAATCCGATCAGAATTGTCACTTGTCAAATCGCAAAATATGTACATGACCAGTTTGTATCTTCAATAACTTCGTCAAATCAAAAGCTAGGAAGCTAAAACCCAAAACCGAGTATGCCATCAACATTGCCTTAAGGAATAGGCATATGAATAAATTTCAAAGAAACATACAATATGATAAACAACAAATATGATACAAACCAACTTACCTGTAGAAAATAAGTGCCGGTGTAAATATTCATGACTAGGTAGCAATTTTTGCAACATTTATTCTTGCTTGAACCAAGTGTGAAACCACTTCACGTCCTGACCCTTGATCATGCAAAGTTTAAATTAATAAATTCTACCATGGTGTTTACATTCTTCTATATGTAACCCTAGCATAAGTCTTCAAACAAAATTTTCATAAAATCTATATAAAAACATAAATAGTGTTTTGTTTTACAATGTACTTATAGAAAACTGTTATTATCTCTTTGCATATTTGAGGTTTACATTGCTTCATTTTGTTGCAGAAAGTTAATAAAAACGAAATTAACAGGTGTCTCTGGAGATATTATATTCGACAATCAGGGGAATTTACAAGCAAACAGCTTTGTTGTGCAAAATCTAGTGTTTGAAGAGGGGCAAATATTCTGGAGAAAAATAGGTCATATACATGGGGAAGATGTGACCCCATTTGGAATTATATGGCCAGGAGAATCTTTAACAAGTAATATTGCTTATGGAAGAAAAAGGTATAGAATTGTAACAAATCCTGTAAAACCATTTGTGATGGATGAAGAACCTCATCCTGATATTGGAGAATGTGCAAAAGACACAACGTGTATATATATAAACTCTACGGGTAAACAAGAAATCATTCAGGCATTACAAGATTATGAAAATGGTATTTATAATGACAGTCATCCATACACGATAAACTGCTGTCGTGGCTTATCATTAGATTTGCTCAATAGACTCGCCAGTGATTTAGATTTTGATTACACTTTGTACGTAGTCTCAGACTTAACTTACGGCAAAGAAATCAATGGGACATGGAATGGAATGGTCCGTGAATTAATGGCCGGCACAGCACATATGGCTATGGCGGCTTTTAGTATAACTAGATCGCGAGTGAAGGTAATAGACTTCACAAGTACTTACTTCTTCTCAGGGTTTTCCGTGTTGTATTCGGAGAAACAAAGAGCATCAAATATGCAAGCCTTTCTAGAGCCTTTTGACATACCTGTATGGTTCGCCATTCTGATAAGTGCAACTATTGCGGCTATTGCCATGGGACTATTTGAATGGAACAGTCCTTTTGGGTTAAATCCGTGGGGTAAGAAAAGAAAACAGAATTACACGCTGGCGTCTGGAATGACAATGGTTTATTCAGTGTTATTTGGACACACCGTTAAAACAAAGTCACCAAAGGCTTGGCCTAGTAAAGTGCTTCAAAATTTCTGGGCCTTTTCCTGTATTTTCATCATAGCCAGTTACACTGCCAACTTAGCTGCTTTCATTGCCGGGAAACATGCTGGTCTCTTCTATAACAACATTTATGACTCCAGGGTAAGTGTATAAAATGTCATTCTTATGTGTTTGTTTTGTAACAATATTAATTCAAGTTTTCTACAGACTAGGAGTTTTTGTGTAGTTTCTTAGAGAGCTTTTTTGAATATTTCAGATACTTTTTTGTTTTTTTAGGTAAATTAATAATAAGAATTTGATTGTAAGTCTGATATTACATTCAACTGTCTGATTGATTAAAAATATAAGCATGCAAGTGTTTTATTTATCAATACTGTGTATGATTAAAACTAGGCTATTGCGTGATTTAAATTTTTTTTATTATATCCTTTTGGTTTTCTCTCGGTTTTCTAGGTGACAAATTGTATTAATTCGAATAATTTCTTAATATAACTTTCTCACCGATCGACCTACATGTTATTTAATACTTTCTTTCTGAGAATGACAACGATTTGCCTGAGGGTATATATCTAATGTAAGGATAAACTATAATGGCAACTAGTAATTGCCTTTTATGTTGCACCTGTTGTTTTTTTAGCTTAGCTGAGAATACCATTGCTTTAGAATTGAGTGAAGTTAATATAAAATGAGCCGCGTCATGACAAAACCAACGTAATGCGATTGCGACCAGCATGGATCCTGCGCATCCGCGCAGTCTGATCAGGATCCATGCTGTTCGCTTACAAACTCTTTTACAAATAGAGAAACTGATAGCGAACAGCATGGATCCTGATCAGACTGCGCGGATGCGCGGTCGCAAACGCATTATGTTGGTTTTGTTGTGACGCGGCTCAAACAATGATACATGAATGATGAAATCATTGAGAGTGAAGAAGATTTCTTATTATTCATAAAATAGACGATTTCTCAATAACTTAGATACAATTATTTTTAATGACTGTTTACATGAAAGTGAATTCGTTAAAGTATGAGCTAAATTAAAAGTAAAATTCATGAGTAAGTAAAAAGTAATCAATATTAAATAAAAAGTAATCAATATTAATATCGCTGGTTTTATTCCGTTTATGTAAAGTTAATTTAGTTAATGCTTTATTATGTATGAATGTAATTGAAGCCGAGTTCAAACAAAACAACTATACCGAACAAAAAAATTCTGTAAAATAAATATACTGTTATAATGTTTTAAAGGCTTAATGGTATAAATTTACTATAAAACCTAATTTACTTAAATTAGTACACACTATTTGTTGGCTTCGATCCTTCTAAAGCAGACAATATTTACCATGAAACAGACGACAAATTACATAACGTGTCGATTTTATTACCAGCATTGATCAACGTTCATTTGTGAAAGTGAAATCAGGTAGACAGATGGCGTAGCTAATATGTCTGTGGAAGCAGTCATGTAAGCTTCAATTACTCTCATGTTATCAACTCACTTGACGCTTAAGTGTTCAATTTTATCTTTGATTAATCATTAATCGTCTAGAATTAGTTGAATTGCATATAGATTTTCTCTAAAGAAAACAAGACGACAATGGTCCTGAAGGACACGAATATGTAAGAACAGCATTTAGGTTTGTCCGTCCAAAATGTTTGACATTTTGTTCGTTTATTGTCAATTAATATTATGATTAATGCAATGATAATGTTTCGTGTGTGTTAGAAATATAATGAGACAATGAAAGTATACATATATGAGCTTCAGATATATCAAAATTTGCAACTCGTACTTTACCAAGTGGAGCAAATAGACCTACAAAATTAGATTACAAATGCCTTAGAAATGACTAATCTTAAAGATATAGAACCATTTACACAGGGTAATATCTATATAGGCAAATAGAAATAAAATAATTTGACCATATTACGTGTCTATTTGTATTTTACACTATAAACCTCCTTTACATGCTGTGATTGCTGGTCCACTAGGTTGCATCAAGTATTCCAGAGTACACATATATTACAAGGTCTACTCATCATGAATTTAAGCTTAATATCGGAATATTTAACTCTTTTTATAGTAATTGGCTACATTTTGTTTAGCAATACAATATGTAGGTACATTTCATTATTGAAATAATAAAATAATTTAAACAAGTAAATGGTTAATTTGTTTTAAATGTTAAGATGATAGATGTTATGGTTTTATCTCACGAATCATATCATAGTGCCATTACCTGAAAGCATGATAGGATATGTTGAAATTTTAATGAAACTTTTTTTTCAAATAAATGTATTATCAAAATTTTAATGAAACTTCTGTAGAAGGTTTTTCTGTCTACGAAATAGTTCAAGAAAACTCGTTGTCCTTAAGAAAATATTTGCTTATTTGGATATGGATTTAATATCAGCAAATTTTATAGAAACATTTCATTAACCTTTTTAAATGTTTGCTCGTAATCTTTGTTCTATAACGTAATTGCTCGATTTAAATTGCATTACATTAATACAAAGATTGGATAGTATTCATATAAATAGTATCTATAATATAACGAAGGTCAGTGATGTTTGTGCAAATGTAATATTAGATGTTTTGCATGACAGACAAATTTATTATCGTTATTAGTGTAAATATTTATGATTTATTATATGACATTTATCTAGAACATATAGGTCAATAACACAGACATGAGTATTATCAGAATTATCAGTAATTCTAAGACGATTATTTGATTAAGAATAAATAAGCATTTGTTCATGATTTAGAATATCAGAATCTCTATGTTATAATAAAACAGATAAATGTAGAGAATAAATCAATCGATTATTGACTCATACAATAAATCAATCGATTATTGACTCATACAATTTATCAATCGATTATTGACTCATACAATAAATCAATCGATTATTGACTCATACAATTTATCAATCGATTATTGACTCATACAATAAATCAATCGATTATTTACTCATACAATTTATCAATCGATTATTGACTCATACAATAAATCAATATATTATTGACTCATACAATTTATCAATCGATTATTGACTCATACAATAAATCAATCGATTATTGACTCATACAATAAATCAATCGATTATTGACTCATACAATTTATCAATCGATTATTGACTAATATTTTATATAACACTGGTTAAAGTTCAGTTGGGGACAAATTACTCACATTGTTAAAGTTACTGAAAGATACCAAAACTATTTTGTTCATATTTCATATTGTAAACTTGATCATTCTTTTTAAATAAGATATATATTATACTATTGCAACTTCTTGATAAACCAAGTTCTTGGACGAGTTCAATTTCTGGACAAAAATTAAATGTTTCTACTATATCTTAATAAAAAGAATAATCGTATATTAAATTAATATGGAAAAATAAAGTCTATGTTAAAAGACATTGTATGTGAGTAATAAGAAGATTATTTTCGATTAATTAATGAAAAGGTGACTGTAACACAAATCCATTAAATTTTGGTAATCAATTAAACATTAGTTATAATGTATTGTCTATTGTTTGTTTTATTTTGTGTTTATTTGACGGAGAAATACTTATTCTTATAAAAGACATGGCATTTAAGACTGTAGAATTACACAATATTGGAAATGATTAAGGAGATATTGAGCATTTGTTATAAATTCAATTTCCGTCTTGATTAGAGTTCAACTGTGAGAATTTAATCAAGCCAGAATGTCTCTCTGCGAATATGTCTGCGGAATCCAAGACGTAATCTCTGTTTTCTTTCATATGACCAACATGCATTGCGGTTGTAAATAGTTTATTATACTTTGTGATTCTATAACAAAATAATTGAGATTTCTTGAATCAGGGGATATTGAAAAAGAACATAAATAATATATATAAGTTAAATATATTGATCGTAAATATTTTATTTATTAATGTCATGGATCTTATCGATTGGCCGCTTCACCACACGACATTGCTATGAACAATATTGAAGTGCCAAATAAAAACTGACACAGTCGCATTTGAGATTTGAGCAAAGAGAATACAGTTTGAAAATAGTCCAACACATCATTCATGTACACCCTAATGAGCATTTGTACATCTCAAAGTGATGAGTCTTACCTAAAATAGGAGAAATTATATTGTCAAATCCCAACAATGTCAATTTTTGTGTTTATAACAGTTCATCAATAACAATAAATATAAAATTATAAGGTGCAATATATGGAATCCATTAAATAGGAATGAATTGTAAGTGTTGCTATTCTTCATCTGTTATTGTTTTCTTCGGGTGTATTATCTCTAGTATTTATTTTTGGAGTTTATTAATAAATCCCTGTTGTGCTTTTTAATCTTAAAACTTGATAACTGATATGATATGATATAGTAATGGCTTTTAACATTATAAGATGTAACTATTGTTAAGAAAGATAGTCCAGTCGTGCGCATTAACTTTATCGACAATCGAGTATATTCAGTATTCAATATGACATGTATCAATTTATTTTCTTCTTTTTGTTGCCAAAATGAAAAACAAAAATAAATGCGCCGGTGAATAAATAACTTAACTATAGGGATGAATTGACGCTGTCCCAAAGAACACAGACAAAACGGCAAATTTACAAAATTGACTCAGTTGTAGGTTTTAAAATACCAATAAACTTCCATATCTTAAAACAGAAATAATTATGATAAAATACTTTTAGCTTTTTCAAACGTTTTACAGTAACAACGTGAATTTAGAGCAAAAAAAACTAAAGTTTTTGTTGTTGTTGTTGTTGTTGTTTTTAAGAATAATTGGAGAACATGTTTAACCTAGAACCATAGAACCATAGAAAATGCCCTGACTCCTTTATACCAGTCTGTCTGTTTTTTGTCATTATTTGCGTCTCTTTTTTTTTAACGCAAGAACTTTTCACCTTGTTAACAGAATTATATCGATTTCCCAAATATAAGCTAGGTGTAAAAATTTCATTCCTTGCAGCAATCTTCCGAAAATGAAAGATCTTATAAGACCTTTAAAATAAAATAGATGAATATATTTGACAGTGTCTTCTCATGTTTGAAATATATTTAGATTTATAAAGAAATGTCGTTACTGGACAGACGCCTTAAGAATCAATTTGTGTCACTTATATATAAACCGT